CTAAAAATTTATAAACAGATTAGATCATCTTTGTTGTTTCAATATTTTAGTTTATACATTCATGTGAACACATCCATAAATAAATACGTTGAAGTTAGTTTTATATTACTGATTAAATAGATAAATAAGTTGTTACAAGGTTTTTAGTAAAAAAAAAAGTGAAGCAATCAAAATTGGTGACAATAGAAACTCTTAAGTACATTTGTATTTTTGTATACTTATTAATCGTATTTAATATAAAATACGCTTCAGTTTTTTTTTTACAAACAACTAGTGATTAATGACTTGATTATCAAGGTCGACAAATGAACTGCATTTATTTACATTAAAAACAAAGGCCATCAAGTAAATGAAATGTGTATTTTATAAAACCATAATCATTGTTTCACAAAATTAACTTTATATATGTTAAATTAAGTATGTAATTACGTTATATTTGCAAGTTAAATACTGTAGTTGTTACAAACTGTGGTCAATAAAATAGTAATTGAAAGATGGCTATGAAATAAATAAAAATAGTTGTTAGATAGTTCAATTTTAAACTTACCTTAAATCGAAGAGCTCCCACAGGAGGTTTCCCGTACGGAATTCCTAAAAATGCGTAGTGTTTCTCTCCTCTGACATCTTCCACTACTTTACCCCGTAGCAACCCCTGTTTAGCTTTTACAATAACTTCAGACATTCTTTAATTAATTAAAAAAGAATAGAAACTAAAAGTACGAGTAAGACGTCTGCTTGCTAATATTCGCGATCGACTACTGCAACGATGCGATGTTTTAATGTTTTTCTGTATGTACTCAATTTCATTCAAGTTATAGAGATACAGTTATAATTATAGTGGTGGTTGCTGCTGAATTTTCATCGCACAATTCTCGTTGCTCTCTTTTGTTATGATCAAAACAGCCTTGAAATTTGCGTGTACAGTATTCAAATAAATAATAATTAATGTAATCGGAAGGTATTAAACATGTACTGTTTACTTCTTGTCTCGATTCCTCTGTATTAGATATCGTTCTATTTACATTAAATGACATTTTTATTTAACTAAAATTTTATAAATTAGCTATGCGTGTCAGTTTTGCCAGTCGTGGGGTATATAGTGATTTTCACGTAAGCAGTCACCTTAAATTACGTAATGCTAACGGGGAAAGGGGAGATATGGTCAAATGGTCATGTTGCGAAGAGGGTGGGAGGGGACCTTCGTTTGCGTTACGTTACGATTTGAGAATGTATTAAAAAATGAATTGAATACATTAAATTGAATTAATTTTTACCGATAACCTGAAGTTAATGAGGAAAAATTGTTGCTACTGTGTCACTTCCTCGCCGGGAACCGAACTCGGACCCCTGACTTTACGCACCATCGCTCTACCACTAAGCTACAAGAGGTGATAATAGAGATAACTTTGTAGGTCACACAGAATCGTCGAACCAATGTATAATCATTATCGTCATCTCTCATATGGCTTACGGTTACTGGTATAGTAGTAATGGTGCTTAAAGCCAGGGATCCGAGGTCGATTCCCGGCAAGAGCGTGACAGCGGCAACAATTTTTTTTCATTAATTTATTAAATTTTTTTCACTTTAATTTATTGAAATTAACCCTACCAAAAAATTTCTAAAATTGAATTGATCGAAATTAAAAAGCCTTTTTAAGTGATCTAAAATTTTTAGAATGCCAATGTTACGTAACGGAGTAATGGGGGCAGATGAGTCACGGTCTGGATATATATGTGTAGGGGGTGGACGGGGGGTAGAACGGGGACAAAAATTAATGAATTCAACCATTTGGCTCACACACAAATGAACTATTAATTCCCATGACACTCAGAGATAGTGTATATTACATTAGACAAATAATCTTTAGCATCAATTCAGTAAATTTAGTTGCCCCTAATACAAAATAGAAAAGTAGCATGATAACACCTTGTATATTATATAAGTAATGTTCGTGTTTTTTTTCTGAAACACAGTACTGGTTGTATTAAAATCAACAATTTCTTGTGAAATAAATTTTAGTTACCATATCTCTGTGTAATACAAGGAAATTTAAAGGTATGGAACTGGCGCGCTCGTTATTTGTAGCTGCCTTTCTTCACCTTCTGCCAATGTACTACAGACAGCAGCACTAATACTGTTAACATCAAAATTCTGAATCGCCAATTTTAAATTCCACAGGAAAAGTATTGTTTCTATCAATAATAGAATGAGGTGCAATCACACCTGTCTCAATGAAAGTTTATATAAAATTGAAGTGGTTTAGTCACCGCATTGTGATTGTGGTAATTCAATAAAAACCATTAATCATCTTTTCTTCCAATGCATGTGGTACGAGACTATACGTAAAGAGTTATGTAAAGAATTGTTCAAGTTAAGAAGGTTTCGACCTTATTGTATGGAATCGTTACTAAGTGAGATTGACCCTCTGGTGATCACATGCATTGTAAGCTTTATAAATAGCATAAGTGTAAATATTTGATGTTTTTTATATGTAACTTAAGCTTAAGTTTTTTGCTGGTTTTTTTCTTGTTGGCTAAATGGGCCTAGGACACCAGCCAGTGTACATTTTCTTTTTGTAATATAAAAAAAATATTTCTGAATAGACCCAGACGGTATTCCATTTCTTAATTTGAAAAACTCGTTCTTATAGATTTTATTAATGTGGTACATGAAAAATACCAGATGAAATCCATCACGTCACAATTTTGGATAAGTATATGTATTTCAAATTTTTAGGTTTTTATTTTATTCCACGAATATGAACTTTATTTTATTACAAAAAACTTTCTATAAACCAATGAGAGTATCTTTAAAATATTATTTCTATACAACTATCGGTTATTTGTTATAATCATAAGATATTTAGGTAACCGAATGAAACGTAAATTCGTTCATCATGGCTTGGCGTAAGTCCTGTGATAGTTTTCGTTACATTTGTGGTAAATATATGTTATCAAAACAATAGAACAACATCACGAATTTTGTAAAGAATGTACCTTGATTAGATTATTCGTTACAGATAAGCATTGCGTATCAGAACTTCGTAAGCGGTCAAAATGTAAGAAGACTAGTTTTAACGTAGCTAAGCCTATTCAATGGAGAGAAACTCAAAATTCTATTGGATGTTCCAGTTTGTAAGGCCAGATTAATCTCGATCTGATTTCATACATTTCTCTGATAATCCTCAACTATATTTAAGACTGCCAAAAGGTGCTGCAGAACTTCTTCCCTGGAGTTGCAAGAGGAAAACTTATTTTCTCCTAAAACTTAATTTTCCTGGTATCGGAACAGAGAAAAAAATTTTAAACAATTTTTCTATGAAAATGCAGATCTCGTTTAAATATATGAAATCCTATGACATTGTTAGTTACTTAATAGTGGATTAATATGCAATATTAATTTGAAATCGTTCTTTCGATTTTTTATTTACCCACTACAAACTACCTCAAATTAATGAGGGAAAATTTGTTGCTGTTGTCACACCCCCGCCGGGAATCGAACCCGGGACCTTTGGCTTTACGCATCAATGTTCTGACCACTAAACTAGGAGAGGTGACAACAGCAACAATTAACCATTAGGTCTCGGGTTCGATTCCCGGCGGAGGTGTGACAACAACAACAACTTTTTCCCTCATTAATTTGAGGTAGGTAGTTTGTAGTGGGTAAATAAAAAATCGAAAGAATAATTTCAAATTAATATTGCATATTAATCCACTATTAAGTAACTAATAATGTCATAGGATTTCATATATTTAATAGATTAAGTGTGTTTGACGTGAAATCACGAGCAGTATTTTCTCAAAATGTTGGTTTTAACGGAGCGAATGAATGAAACTCGATATAAAACACTATATACAGATTTTATTTACAAATGAATTATTAACTAAAAAATAACGGATTGCAACTACAGCCACAACGAATAAGCTACGAATTAAAAACGCAAGTTAACAAGAAGAAGGACAAAACGTAACTAACTCTAAATTATGTGACAANCGAAGGGGGTGTGACAACAGCAACAATTTTTCCCTCATTAATTTGAGGTAGTTTGTAGTGGGTAAATAAAAAATCGAAAAAATGATTTCAAATTAATATTACAGATCTCGTTTGTTGTAAAAACAATCTGCAGATTTATCATTACTGAGTACGATGCTAAAGTCTGGAGTTTCTTCAAAAAGAAGCTTAAAGAAAGTTTATTCCATAATGGGAATAACTACTCTCTTCATAAATGGCACATTTAAGAAAGTCTTATGAATGTTTATTTACAATTTAGATAAAATCAGCCACAATAAAAAAATATATGCACCAACACTTATTATAAAATTACTAAAACCATGCATTCTAAAAAATTCTGATAAGATAAAAAAGTTCAGATTCGTAAACAGGAGGTCGACCTTAAAAATCGAGAATGAATAAATTTATAGATTTGTATTATATATTTAAACAATATAATAAAATTATACAGAATGTTCCCAGATCAGAACATTACATTAATCTTTCATTACAAGAGTCAATATCGTCGCCTTCTTATTCTGATATTAATACCAGTAGCCGATTTTAAAACTGCTTCGTTAGACATAATTACTTTACAATCTGGAGCATCCAAAATTTCGTATCGCCTTAACACATTCACAATCGTTGATTTGATTTCTAATGATGCGAATCTAAACCCTAAAAGTATAGTTTATAATGTACATTTTTTTTCAATAATAAATATTAAAAGGAGTACCAACCAATGCATTTTCTAGGGCCTGCGCTGAATGGTATGTACGCATAGGGATGCAAATTGTTTATTTCTAGAAAACGATCTGGATCAAATTTTGTAGCATCTTTGAAATATTTTTCATCTTGCAATATGCCATAGATAAATATTTGCATTGTCGTTCCTTCCGGATATTTTACACCATCTATTAGGAACAATATTTCGCATTTAGATAGTTTCCTAATTAAATTTTAGAAACAAAAACAGGGTCAAACATTTTCTTACTGTATTCAAAAGTATTTTGGACCTGTCTAGCAATCATGGGTACGGTCGGATAAAGTCTTAATGTTTCTTTTATAACGAGATCAAGATATTTCATTCCTTGAAGTTCAGAAGATGTAGCCGGCCTCTCAGTATCGTTACCGAAAATTGATTCTATTTCATTCATTACTTTCTGTTGTACGTCGGGATGTTTTGAAAGGCAATAGAGGGTATAGCTTATGGCCGATGCTGTAGTATCGTGACCCTAAAATTCGGTGTATGTTTGTATTAGTATTATGAAAAAATCAAATCATGTAAAAATGAGTGAAAAACAAAGAGCAAACAGATACAAAAACATTTTGCTTTGACACCAAAAGAATTATTTCACCATACAGTGGCTTCCTCGGGTGCAATTTAGATTAGATTAGTTATGAGAATATATTCAAAATCACCTCGACTATTAGATTACTTTTTTCACTGAAGTGAAGTATCTAATTATTGTGGTGTTAGAAGAAACATAAGGGTGGATAAGGTTTTGATTAATATAGAATTACAAAGACTTAAATCTTCATGTATAACAACTAAAAATAATTCTAAAAATGTAAATATAAATAAAATCTCTCAATAGTTTCAATCAAACTTACTTCAAACATAAATGTGTCGACTTCTTCTTTAAGTTCGCTGTCAGTTAATGGTCTTCCATCAACTGTACTCATCATTAGTAAATCAAGAAATGCAATCTTTTTCTTTATTCCTATAGAATCATCGTTTAAATCTATACTGTCAATTGATGTGCTGTTTAAACATTCTAATCTTCTTTGCTTTATCACTTTTTCAGTCATATTATGCACTACATTTAAATGTTTCTTTTCTATAGCGTAAGTTTTAGTAAATTTATACAAAATAGGATTCCCTTCTGCTATTTGATATTGTCTTTTAACTAAAATATTAGATAACTCTCTTGTGCTTTCTACATATGGAGAACGATAATTTTCTTGGGCATTAATTTTCGTATTCATTGAAGTCTCTGTAAGCAAATGAACAAGGATAACTAAGTAAAGTACAAGGATAAGTAAATAAAGGGGATTTTAGTTTTAGTTGTTGCTAACGTATTTTCATACCTACGATATTGTCCAAAGTTAAAAGTGTCACATATGGGTACACATCAAAAGAATTGCCATGCAATTCCTTTTCCAACTTTTTTAAAAACACATTGTCGTTTCTTTGAAATATTTCTAAAAATTGTTCTAATATAGTGAAGTGAAAAGCTGGTGTTATAATTTTTCTAAATTTTTTCCATCTTGCAGCTGCAATATCAAAAAATATACTATTAGAGACTTGAGCTATTATGTATCTAGAGAATTGTTATATTAATTTATTATTTTAACAGGTACTGTTCACTCACGAGGACTTGTAAGTAAACCGTGCCCAAGCCAGTCGAACAAGAAGCGGTATATTCTCGATTTATGTAACGGTCCCGTTGTTCCTAAAAGTACTTGAACAAGATCTGGATCCGATATAATAACTACTGTTTCCTGAAATCCAATAAAAAGTTTGAAAATGTTTCCGTATCGTTTCTTAAAATCCATAAAGACAGGTAATGATTCTGTAAAAGAAATATATATCAAATTTTATTCGACAAAGAAACAACCCTTAATAGGTAGAAAGAAAAAAGGTAAAAATTAATTGAAATTTAAACATAATTTCGAACTATTCTGTAGATAATATGTTAATTGAAAAATTCGCCCAAAGGCGCAAAACGCTTCTTTGAATTATATCTTCGTGACTATCGGGCACTATATACGGAGTCCATTCGGAATGGTGGACTATGTTCTTTTCGGGATGTCTGGATTTGCAAGCATTTCCTTCTTCTGTAGCATCTCTTATTTCTACCCACGGTTCAGGAGGTTCAGGGACCTTTGTAATTGTAATTTAGAAATTTCAATTTTATTTTCCTTTGTAATTTTCAATAGCATTCACACTTATTAATTATATCGGCATTGTAATAGCTAGGGTTCGGATATTTATGCATTTGCATAACTGCATATTCTAATGCATGTTTAACCCATTATTTGGTTAAAGTGCATATTTTGGTCATTTTAAGTTTTATCTGCATATTTCGTAGTTAAAACTTGTTTGCAAATATAATTTATACGCTTACCAAGGTCAAATAGTTACTCAACCCTTTATGGGTTGCGTTCCGTTTACACAAATGTGAATTTCTTAATATCGTCGACCAAGAAGCACCTTCTCGCGTTGCTGAGTTCAAAGAAATTGCCGGTAGTGGGATTCCACTTCCGTCATCCCCAATTGTTCTAAGATGGGGCACCTGGATTGAAGCTGCAACCTATTACTCTCAACATTTTGAACTTATTGCCCGTATTATTAACGATTTCGATCCTGAGGAATCGCAGTGCGTTGAGGATGCAAATTAAATTTTAATTGTATTTTTGACGCTATTTTGAAATTGGAAACTTAAGGAATCTGTTCAGAAAATAGTATACAGATTGTCGAAAGTGTTTTTGATAAATTNTTCTTATTTTATTCAAAGTTTTTGGTCAAATTCCAAATTTTCTTTCAAACCGTATACTTTTTTTAGTATAGATAATATTTATTTACGTCATGATATGCTGCAAAACCTAATTAATCACGAATTTCCAATTTTATGTACTCTTGTCTCCGATTGTACCTCCCAAACATCCTTAAACAAAATGTTACTTACTTGTTGTATCGGTTGTAAGCTGATGCATATTACCAATGACGGGTAACGCAATTGGTCCAGGTACATTTTTTAATGCGAGAAGATAGTTCCATTGCACAACATACCACAGAAAAATTAAAACAATAAACAAAAAAACAAAAAAATATAAAGCTTCTTCGAACATTTTTAATTATCCAATAAGAAGCACTGCGACGAACTGAAGCTAAGCACGCACAATTATACAATTTATAGAATAAAAACAAAAAGGCTAATAACGTGACCAAGGTCCACGATATAGCAAATTACAGGCACTGCCTTCATGTATCAAAAATATCATTACGATTGACTAATAACACTGCTTTATCACTCAAACTTTTTAAATAATAAACAATATGATACGCGTAACTTATTTAGAAACATATTAATATGTACAAGATAGAGACTGCGGTAAGCAAATAAATTTTCAAAAAGAGTGATCTTCATTTATATACCTAACAGGTACCTAAATGTTTTGAAAAGTTACCGAAAATATAAACACAATAAAAGAAATACACAACTTTTCTTTAAATTTCCAAAAGCTATAAGAAATTCGTTAACTTTTAAAGTATGCTATTAATGTGAATTTGAAACTACTACGAAAGAATTGGAAGAAAAAACATTTTCACTCCTTCTGACTCGAGTCACCAAAATTCCTTTAAGGGGTCCTACTTTAATGTATAAAGTGTATAAAAAAATTGGTGGGGAGATAGTTTAGAGCTAGGAGATGGACATAGAATACTTTTTATTCCGTTTCCGTGAAAAAAAAAACGTGGTTTAACAAAACGCAACTGACATGGAATGACAAAATGCAACTGAGAGCAAAACATCAGTCTAGCCGTTCATTTGTTAAAAATGGTACAACAAAACGCAAGTGTCAGCTAAACGTAATGTTGTCTATGGTTAAGTATGGTGTTTTATTTATAGTCAGATTTACCTGAAACTTGGTTTTAATGCTTTTTCATATAAAATTAGTGACATACATACCTATTTCAACATTTTACAAAATTCTACCTCTTTAGAAAGCTGAAAGGGGTTTGCAAAGATTGCACGTTTGTTTTTGGTCCGATTTAATCTCTGTTGGGGGGGGGGGTGTGAATGGTGAAGAGGAATTACAATGTTTAAATGAAACATACATTATTTATGGTCAGATTTACTTGAAACTTGATCTTAATGGTTAGACTGCAAAACCATTAAATTTTTGAAAAATACACATAATACAATTCTCTTAATTAAATTTTTTAAAAGGTTGTTTTCATTAAACCACTTTCAGATACATGATTTATATATAGGTAAAAAATCGTTTGCTATAAAATACCACAAAAGACGCGATAAACGCCATCTGTAGTACAATACAACATTTTAGGATTACGTATGCTCCAACAAGGTGCATTTAAATATATGGATATCTATTTGCTGAAATGAATGCCGGCGTAGCTAACCACTACGTGATAAACACGTTACCATAATCGAATAAAATAATTCGAAGTGGTCTGCATTCTGTCGAAACTGCCAGACGCCGATCTCGATTTCGATCTTTTTGAATCTCATCAGCGCGTAGCAGACAGATTCGACAGAACACAGACCAACTTTTACCTGCTGTCTTAACAGCGCGTTTTATAAAATACCACAAATGACGCAGTAAACGCCATCTGTAGTATAATGCTACATTTGAGGATTATATAAAAATTGGTCTATGCTCTGTCGAAGCTGTCTGCGACGCGCTGATGAGATCCAAAAGATCGAAATCGCGATCCGCGTCTGGCAGTTTCGCCAGAATACAGACCACTTCGAATTATTTTATTCAATCGTTTGCTACAAAATGTTCTACTGTCAGTAGTATAAATTATAGACAAAAACAGCAAGAATATGCTTAGGACATTCTCTGGAAAATGATTCCCGTCTAAAAGAATTGTTAAATTTGCCACGGCAAAATCTTCTGATTCAACCCTAAAATAAATTATAAACCTAAAAAAAATTATTTGCTTCATCACTTAAATCTATGTTTTGCAAGTTTTGTAGATACATGTTTGCTTAAAAACCTTTCTTTATTCTCAGAGCAGGACGATTAAATTTTTTTGTGAATATATCTGCTTAATTAATTTTTCTAAAACAAACAAGTTGCTATTCATTGATATTCAGTCTGAATTACAACACATTATTAGTAGTATACTTCAGTTTAAAGTTAAAGTGCGCTTATGACTTAATTAAAAAAAAAACGAATTCCCTCATTAACCTGAGGTAGTTTGCAGTGAATAGAGAATTGGAAATGAATTTTCACCTTAATATTTTATAGACTTAATTTATATTTAACTTTTATGAGACCCTTAATTGTAAAATTTGATTAACAGAACAGCCTTTCCTGACAAATCTAAGGTCCGTATTGTATTAAATATGCTTAAAACTGTCTACATATTTATAATACAAGTACATAGAAAGAAATAATTACTGCAAGCAGTCATACGATTTCTTAATACGGACCATATCGAGAAACAATTTGTAAACCACTCAAAAAGCCAAAGCCATAGCCGCACTATGATTTTAGCTGAGCTATAACAAGTGGCCCCTTGTGATCGTTAATACTAATTAAAAAAATCAGAAGATAGGATATTGTAACAATAACAATAAAAGGAGCAATAACCCTACATTCTATCACTACAAAAAACACTGTTTTAAACTTTAAACGATTCATCATCATCATAAGGTCGTCAGTCCTAAGACTGGTTGGACACGCACCTCCACTCTTTCCTATCCTGAGTTAATCTTCGCATTTCCCTAAAACTAGAACAGCCCACATCCTTAACTATTTGCGAACAGTAATCTAATCTAGGTCTACCTCTATTACTCTTAACTCCTGTTTCTTTCTCTAATATGTCTCTGACTAGACCTTCATGTCTGAGAAGGTGTCCTACCAACCTTTGTCGCCTAATTCTTATTGACTTCCACAAAGTCCTCTGTTCTCCTATTCTTTCTAATACCTCTTCATTTCTAATCTTCTCTATTCACGGTATCCTCATCATTCGCCTTGTAAACTTTTTTGGGTCATTTGATTCGAAAAAAAAAATTGAACATTCTGCGATTTTTGCATAGCCCCGTATTTTGGCATTCTGATCAACTTTTTCCTATACCTTTTTAATAAACAATTTTCGATTAAACCTACAGGTTGGCCGCAATGAGCACAATGCGTACCTTTTTGGCCACCCTAGGTTATTATACCCTTCCAGTATCACCTGGTTATTTGACCATAAAAAATCGAAAAATTAAGCTTTTTGCATTTTTTTGACGGCAGTTTTACAAAAAAAATACGAGAATTGAAAAAAATCAATATTTTTTTGTAAATAAAACAAGTTATGTTTTTATTTTTATAATTTACAGCAGATAAGCTGAAATAATGAACTAGAAAAGTGACAGGTGCGTGAGGGGGGGGGAGGTGTGTTAAGAACGTGAAAAGATTAGTTTTTGAGCATGAATCAGTTTTATTCAGTTGAAAAAATTAGACTAGTTTTACTAAACTATGCTAATTGACGTGCATTTTTTTCATACTCTTTTAACAACCTCCCTCTGCGACACTTGTCACTATTCAGCCTATCACTAAGTATAATATTCATGAGTAACGTTTCATTACTAACATTTGTGAATTTTATACGAAAAAAAAGTTTTCCAATGATTCTTTTTATTCTGTAAAAACTGAAAAAATCAATTTTCTTATTTTTTTTTTACAAAAAATAGAACTTTATCCGATAACGAGAAAAGTTTTATTAAAGATTATTTAAAGATAAAGTTTTTTTGACCACTTAAAACCATAAAACTATTAAAAATCTCAATTACGACTTTCCTACAAATTTTTTTCATCAATCCACCGTAAAATGGAACATATTTTGAGGCCAGAATCATGAGGATTTCTCGATTTTTATGGCAAAAACACCAGGTAACAGTGAAAGTGTATAATTACCCCATCCTGCATACCGGCTAAACAAATATGCAAATAAATGTGTACGTAAGTACACTCACTTTTCCTTTTATTCAAAAAAATAACGAAAATTCAAAAATGAGATAAAATGATAGTTGCTTGAGTTTAAATAATTTACACTGTAATTTATTTTATCATAAGTAAGTATTAGCAAAGTATATGACCAAGCATAATAAAAACTGATTTACAATAATTGCTGTATTTAAAAATGACTTGCTACTTGATAATGAAAAATAACATTTTCTATTTATGCCAGTTTATCTTACATTATTATTTATATTAGTTTCTTATTCTGTATTGATTACATCGTGCTAGCTATGAAATTAAATTGAACGTGTTGATAAAGCTGTTTTTATTTTCAAGTAAATAAAATTTCCGCGTTACAATTAAACAAACCACTTGATAAATGTATAACCTATTTTTACATAATTTCAAAATTCCAATTTTGTGAAGATTCGATAGCATACATATAGGTATTATTGACCGCATTTCTATGTGTACGTAATACCTATATTTCATGAACCCTAAACAGTAAATCACATAGACGACTAGATGGTCTGATAGAAGAAGAAGCGAAGGCATCGGCTTTGCGGGAAGCGATTCGAACAAAAATAGAGAAACGAAACTCGGATCTCTAAAATAAACATTTAGATGGAAGATCGTGTCGAGTAGAGATTGAAAATATATTTAGAATTTACATAAATTTTCACAAGCTCACCAACTCGAAATTTACATTTAAACTTTGTCTGTGGGCAATTCTGTTCGCACACAGCATTTTTCTTTTTAATTTGGAAGTAAAATTGTTTTAAAATACAAGTAGATACTACATTTAGGTACGTAAAAGATTCCTTATAGTTAGTGATTAAATTGTCTCTCCACTATTATTAAGTAGATATATTCATATAAATCGTTATTTATTTACTTGTCACTTGTCACAAAAAGATTCTTATCAAATATTAAATAACGCTTGTTATTTCGTTAATCTTCATTAGTATGCAAATAAATCATAAAACAGTAAGGCAAATTATTTATTCTTGTAATTTGTTATGGTAATTCTGCATTAGTGGGGTTCCACTTCTCAAATTAGAAATTCAAAATTAATTAAATTAGGTTAGGTTAAATTAGAAGCGGAATGATTAATTAAGACAAGAGGCATTGATAGTTCTACGAAAAATTTAATAAAAGTAAATTGGTTTCCATAACGTATCCAAAAAGGTGTGCGTGAATTTC